CTAAAAGGGATAAAATTAAGTACGGCATCCCTGAAGGATCTATATTAGGCCCGCTCCTGTTCCTCTTATATATCAGTGATATTGTTAATATACCACTAACCCCGGATATGGTTCTATACGCAGATGACACAAACGTTTTTTTCTCTGGCAAAGACATCAACAGCTTAGAGGAGAAAGCAAACAAATGGCTTAAGCACTTATCAATATGGTTGATAGCAAATAAGATTGAGCTAAACACCAAAAAAAATATGTTATTTTTCGCCCAAAAAATGAAACTATACCCAAGGATATCCAAGTGAAGTTTCGAGGGGAATCGATTGAGCGGGTCACATCCCAAAAATTTCTCGGTATCATTTTTCATAAAACACACGACTGGACATATCACATAAACAAAGTTAGCACCGATCTTTCCCGCTCAATTGGTGTAATTGGGAAAATCAGATTTGTTTTGCCAATTTGGATAACGAAGCAACTGTACAATTCCTTAGTTTACTCGTGTATAAATTAGTGTTTTTTTATTATTGGGTAACACTACAAACACAAAGGATGTGTTTATAAACTACAGAAAAGAATAGTTCGGATAATTGAAGGGGTTCAACCTAGAACACATTGCACTCCACTTTTCAACAAACACGACATATTAAAGTTCGAAAACATCCTAAATAAAAAAAATAGCCATGATCGGAAAGGATAAATTGAAATCTGACGCAGTCGCTTTTCATGATGCATATTCGCAAAGACAACACACATACAGCTTTAGACGCATAACTTACTGCAGCGAAAGAATAAGGACTAACTACGACTCGCAAAAGCTAGCGCATGTGATCACTAAACTATAAAATGCACATTCCGCAATTACCACCATAGTGCAAGAGACAGCCGCTCATTATTGCATTTTAAAAAAAGATACACACATATCTAGTAGGGCTCCAAGAATAATTTTTTTCCTTCTGCGGTATCACAGAGGTTGTATTTATAATTGAAGTGTATACACTCATGACATTTTCATGAACGAGTTCTAATAAACTGGTTTGTTATTCGATAAATTTGGGTTTCTTCACATATTCTTTGCTTTGTTTGCTATAAACTCAGTCTTGCAGACAGGTCTGTACTTAATAAAATGTTCATCTAACGTTTTTTATAAGTTTTTATAAAAGTTTGTAAATGTGGCTGTTTCTTTGTTAAAGCATTTAAGTTATGTGTACATTACTGCTTTTTGGCGTTTTATAGTCTGTGACGGGTTACGGCACCTTGTCAGGCATTACATTGCCTTTGTGCCAACCCTGCCCCTTACTTGTGCCTTCTGTACTTTGTGTACTGTACTTTGAGTACTGTACTTTGTATAATAATAATATTAATAAAAAATGTAACAACATCAACACATATCAAGCTCATGATGCGCTCGCGGCCGTTTCGCTAGCTTCACATATACCAAAGTTGTCATTACGTGACGCGAGCGTTCCACGAAGCTAAATAACACGTCCAAACATGATAATGAAGACTTGGAGGTCATGTACGGCATAATTAACGTCCACCTCGTAACGTTGTGCTGATTTCAAAGTGGCATATCACCTTCCTCATTCGTGCTTCACATATCATCGATTAACACGGTACATACGATTTGCCAATTTGTTTTATGGCGAGAGATGTTAATGAGAAAACAACTCAGGTCACGCGCAGTTGCATGTTGTCCGCCGCCGCCGGTGTCCGTAAGCACATCGCACGAAATTAAAAAAAAATCTTTCCACCCATGTCACAGTGGGGTTTGAACCTGGGTCATCCGGGTGCCAGTCAAATATTTTACCACTGAGTTACGCCGGTACTTGTAACTTGTGTTCAAACTTGCCTCAGGCAGGCATGACTTAGCACCAATGGTACATTGGGGCTCGAACCCGAGTCCGCAGGGTGTCAGCACAGTATTCCACCCCTCAGCTACTCCGGTGCTTGTGACTTCTCGTCTAACTTGCCTTAGGCAGGCTTGATGTCGCTAAAGCAATCGTGAATGCGACTTATAGAGCGTTTTACAACAGCGAAATAACAAGCAGTCATCGCACAATGTCATTACCATAACAAGTGGGCCGTTCAATGATCCAACCCATTACAAAAGCTTGTTCTTGTTTTCCTATTAACTGTGGCGCATACCCACTTCAGCCATAATTCCTCATAGTCGTCAGCCACTGCATGGACAATTGACACTGAATTACTATCAAGTGTTTAGCGGATACCACGCTTCTCAGAAGACTGACGAAAAATAGCATAGCGAATGCCGGCCTACTACCAAAAAGTTCATTATTCAAGCCCCAGTGGGTACCAAGCAAGAGTGCTTGCAGCAGTTACCTAATGCGTGTTTTGAAAACCCACTTTTGGACGGACAGACAGATAGACGAACGGACGGATGGACGCTTCGCCTCACTCATCATTATCTAGTCTGTGGATATTCTGGGATTTTTTTGGTCGCGTAATAACTTGGTATAACCACACAGGCTCACTTTTTCTTCGGCCTGTGAACACCTTGAAGATCCCTTACGATGGTTTGAAAATTTCGAGAAGCGAAGAGGAACGCATGCACAGGGTGCTCGCAATCTCATCTGCACAGATTTTCAATGCTACGCGCACCATAAAGAGGTGAAAATCCAGACTGAGCACCGCTTGACCTTCATCTCATGGGCGTGCTCCCCAACATGGCGGAGGTGATGGAGTGGTCCTGCGCACGTCAAAGTAGTACGTGAAACAGCGAGAACTATTTGAGACGACGTGCGCAATTTGTTAAATCTTTTGCATACTGATATATTAAAAAAACTGTTAACAAAGAGTACTGATATACCCAAAAATAATAACTCGCGAGTCTTCGCAATTTACTCGGTTTCAATTTTTTTGTTCACAGTATTGGTTCCCGGGTATTTAGAGGTCTGGTATTCTGGACTCTTGGAACGCAAAGATTGCAAGAATGTCTGAGAAGAATAATTGCTCGTAGTATGCGTTGCCTGCAACTTCAGCCGCAAGTGCAGCAAGGTACGTTCATAAGTCCTGAGGCAGGATACTTCTCAAAGTAGTCATTTTGGGAGTCGGGCCAGCTTATCCTACACATCATCGTCCTTGCATGTTAATGTTATATACCATCAAGAGACACTGACACCACACAACAAGGTGGTTCTTATGAAAAACTTTGGATACCAAGATTAAACCGTAAATACCGAAAAAACCAATACAGAACATTGGATACGGAGATCGTTGGCAAATACATTCTAAAAACGTGGCCTTGTAAAATTTACTGACGTATAATCTTATAACTTATAAGCACGCCCTTTATACTACTTGTTTCTTTGAGACCTACAGATTTTGTTTCTTAAGAAACTCTGATAATTAGGCATTTTCTGTCTTCGCAGGTAATTTCTAGGTCGGAGTGTAAAGATTTCGCTACTAATTAGGTCTCTCAGAAATGATTGTTTGACAAAAATATTTCAATTACCGGTTTTATTTTCAATTCTCTAGTGGTTGTTTATATGGAGAAATTTTTCCATGTCAGAAGTTAGGGCGAACCTGGTTGCCTAAAATAGAATAGGTCGCGGGTAGTTTGAAAGATCAATCGTCGAATTTCCTGACCACAGTGCCGAGAAAACCGAAACTAACGCACTTGGTGCGCCGTACGGGTGATCCTTGTGTTGCGCCACGCTGCGTCAATGTAAGTGTGCTTTCTTTCTTCATTTGTACCGCGAATAGCCGAAACCCACAAGACTGATTTGCCTCCGTTTCGCATGCGTTAGTGATCTCCCGCCTTTCGCATCATGCAGACGCCATCTACGTTCCTCCCGCGTGAGGGGGAGACGCTACAACTGAGAAGTCGTTTCTCGCCTGGCACGCTATCATTCGAATTACTTGAAGGGGCGTTCCAGCGCGACGCAAATCAGGGACTGCCCTTCCGGCGCACCCCATGTGCTAAGTTTCGGTTTTTCCTTCATCGTTAATTGGCTTCATGTAACTGTAAGAAAGTCACGTCACTTCTTGTAACTGTCATCAGTTCAAGCGTAATCCCCAACCCTATCGAGATGGGTATCAAACGAAAGGAGGTGGCGACTTCTCTGCGATAGTACATGTGTAGTGAACATCAGGACATGTAAGAAAGTCACGCTACTTCATGTACCTTCCACCTGTTCAAGGGTAATCCGCAACCCTGTCGACAATGGGTATCAAACGAAAAGTGATCGCGAGTGACCTGCAATAGCACATGTGTCGCGAACATTAGGTCAGGTGAGCAAGTCATGAGACTTCATGTTACTTACACCCTTCAAGTGTAATTCTCAACCGCATCGAGAAAGGTATAAAACAAAGGGTGGTTGCGAATATGCTGCGATAGCACGTGTATAGTGAACATTACGCCGTGTTAGGAAGACACGTGACTTCATGTAACACTCACCACACACGGCTTTGGTTCACACGGGAAACCCGTCTGTACCTAAAACAACTAAGTTATGTTACACTTAACAGTCAATTCTTTTAAACTCCCACAAAAATTGTTACAGCTTAGAAAACGCTAGGGTGGCTGAAACCAATTGTAATTGTGCAAATTATCTCGATCTGTGGTTTCTTCATCTTCTTTTTTGTCATTTGTTTCTTCTTGCTTTCATGTCAAGTCGACCTTACCCAAGTTGTGATTGTTGGAGTCCGTTCTAGAATCTTGTTTATGGAAAACTAGACCCGAATTCATCCATGCATTTACGACATACATGCGGAAGGAACAGTGACAAAAGAAAGAAAAAAAACGTGCGCCGGTTTAATGGCCGATCCCCCATAGTGGGTACGAGCCAAACATAAGCACAAGCAAGAAAGCAAGCAAGCAAACGTGCTCTTCACGAGCAGGCAAAGCGCGTGGACAGCTTTCGCGAGCTGCCATCGTACCAGCCTTCTCCGAACAGTTCTCGGCGGCCACTCCACCGTGCGAGCTATCGTCACCGGATCAAGATTCTGCCCGTATCAGTGGCATAGGAGCAAGCCGTGAAAGCATGGATAAGTACATCATCATGCGAAAAATTGGTGAAGGTGCGTACGGCGTTGTCTACAAGGCGAGGTGCAAGACTACTAACAAGATCGTCGCCATCAAGAAGATCCGCGTAGAGCGCGAAGACGAAGGGGTCCCTGCCACGACTATTCGAGAGGTGACCTTCCTCCGAGAGTTGAGGCACAAGAACATAGTGCGTCTCATCGATGTTGTCATGTCGCCACTCAAGCCCATATGCTTGGTTTTCGAGTACATGACGACTGACCTCAAGACGCTCTTGGATTCCCTGCCCAAGAACAAGACTTTAGAGGGTAACGTCGTAAAGAAATACCTCGGCCAGATTGTAGAGGCTATACACTTCTGCCACCGAAGGCGAGTCCTTCACCGCGACCTCAAGCCAGCCAACGTGCTCGTCGACGGCAATGGCGATCTCAAGGTGGCTGACTTTGGCTTTTGCCGTGAATTCACGCCACCCGTGCGCATCTTCACGCACAAAGTGGGTACCCTCTGGTACCGAGCACCGGAGATTCTCATGGGTGCTAGTCGTTACTCGACACCGGTGGACGTGTGGAGCATCGGGTGCATTTTCTTCGAGCTACTCACCGGGAAAACTCTCTTCCGCGGTTATTCGGAAATCGACCAGCTGTTCCAAATTTTTCGCGTCCTAGGTACACCTACAGAAGAAACATGGCCGAACGTTCAAGAGCTGCCAAACTACAAGTCGACCTTTCCGATCTGGAAAACTAACATCGTGGCCGAGCTGCTTCCTGGGGTGGACAGCGAGGCTGTAGATCTGCTCCTGAAGATGCTTATCTACAGCCCTGGTGAGAGGATCTCGGCCAAAGACGCGACCGGTCACCCCTATCTGGCCGGATCGAGTGATAGCAAGCGGGTGGCACCCACCGCCGATAAAGAAGGGCAATAAGACATCGCCTTGGCTTTGTGACAAGGACTCTTCACACTTCCTGTTGCAAATAAAACAAGTCAGCGAAAGTGATGCTGTGTATGATATGCTTTATTAAGGCTGTCCTGAAAATGATGCCACGCGCTTGCAGATCGGAAAAAGGCCTCTGTTAAATTAGGAAAAGTTGAATTATTTATTTGGAGAACTGTTGACATTCTTCGAAAATGTAATCCTAGAAGACAAGGAAAAACACTGAATGAAAGTTTGAAGGTTGACAGAATCATTTAAAAACACACAGGTGGAATCGATGCCCGTTATCTTTGTTTAACTTTATATCGAGCGAGAAGCAAGGCTAAGCGGCCTCCATTTTGTTTGCGTTGGTGTTGTTGCCCTTCTCGCATTGTGTCGGTGCCAGTATTCACAACGCTTGGCGTGTTTTTGGTGCATCGTTTCTTAGAGATGTTGCAGCGGTGCGATGCTGTGTGTCGTGGTAAGGATGCGTGATCCATGCCAGCCTCTCAACGTGCGTGCATAGAGGGCTCCATCCCACAGAAACAGGCAGCACAGAGGACGTCGAAACGACAGAACACCGCTTGCGTGCAAGGCCTGGCATGGGCATTCATACGAATGTACCGTGCGCGCCAATGACGTGCTGATGCGTCCGCGTCATGTGATCCTCCAGCTCCTGTTTGCTCCGATACCAAATGGGGCAGAGAAGGAATTGGGGTTGCGAAGTCTACATCGAGTGAGTGGCGAAGGTTTCAAGCTCACCTCCTCATGTCATGCTTTCGAAGCTCGTATTGAACATATTTAAAAAATCTAGCGATGCGAAAATTTTCATCGGGCACGCATCAACTTCCTCTAAGTAAAATTTTTCATGTGACTTAGTGGAGCGCCATTGAAGAAGCAAATGGTAAATGAAACAAAAACAACATCCATATCGTTTTTTTTCATCTACACTTTACTTTCCTTTGATGAAACTCCACGGTTTCGCTTTCGTTCTTCATCGTCCTGCCGCTGCGCCGAAGCACCTACTGCTCCCTACACTAGCCAGACGCCGTGGAGATACCGAGCGGACGACGTGACATGGGTGAATAGATGTGTAGATGCTATTCGACCTTCCTGTTGGCTAAAAGGCCTTGTAGGCTTGACAGTCCTGAAAGTAACTTATGAGATGGAGTTTAGGTTGCACTCCACGACAGCTCTATTTTGCTGGGTAACATGAATACCATACTGCAGCGCTACTTGAAAGCAATATTTGAGGCTAAATAGCATTTATATTGGCACCGATTTTGAAAACAGGTGTTCATAGGCATTTATAGGAATTTGAGCACCAACGTCAAATATAACCTTTTAAAGGTGCTATAAAAACACAGTAAAAGCTCTTCTCACCCTTCAGTTTGTGCCCATATCTCAAAATGGCACAATCCGAATGCACGAAATAAAATGGCTTTTCCTATATTCAGGTCTCTCATGATAATCGTGAGATGCGTGTGTTATAACAACATGACTACGGGCCGCGCTCATGATGCGCTCTGGGTTGTTTCACTAGCTTCACATATACTAAATTTGTTATTACGTGACGCGAACGGACGACGATGCGAAATGACACGTCCAAATATTATAATAATGACATGCGTGTCATGTAACATCACAATATACCATGCTCATGATGCGCTCGCGGCTGTTTCGCTGGCTTCACATATACCAAAATTGTCATTACGTGACGCGAACGTGCCACGAAGCTAAATTACACGTCTAAACACGACATTGAAGACTTGGAGGTCATGTACGGCATAATTAACGTCCACCTCATAAAGTTGTGCTGATTTCAAACTGGCATATCAACGTTTCTCATTCGTGCTTTACATATCGATATACATGGTACGTACGATTTGCCATTTTTTTACAGCGAAAGATGTTAGGAGATAACAACACGGGTCACGCGCAGTTGCATGTTGTCTGCCGCCGCTGCCGCCAGTGTCCGTAAGGACATCGCACGAAACTAAAACAAAAGAAACTTTTCAGCAATGCCACAGTGGGGCTTGAACCTATGTCCGCTGGGTGTCGACCCGATATTCTACCACATAGCTATGCCGATACTTGTAACCTTTTGTCACACTTGCCTCAGGCAGGCATGACTTAGCACAATTGGAAGAGTGGGGCTCGAAGCCGAGTCCACAGTGCACCAGCACAGTATCCCACCACTGAGCTACTCGGGTGCTTGTGACTGTTTGTTTAACTTGCCTTAGGCAGGCATGATGTTGCTAAAGCAATCGTGTAAATGCGACTAATAAAGCGATGATTGAATGATTTGTGGGGTATAACGTCCCAAAACCACTATATGATTATGACAGATGCCGTAGTAGAGGGCTCCGGAAATTTCGACCACGTGGGGTTCTTTAACGTGCACCCAAATCTGAGTACACGGGCCTACAACATTTCCGCCTCCATCGGAAATGCCGCCGCCACAGCCGGGATTTGATCCCGCGACCTGCGGGTCAGCAGCCGAGTACCTTAGCCACTAGACCACCGTGGCGGGGCGACTAATAAAGCGTTTTACAACAGCGAAAGAACAACCAGTCGTCGCACAATGCGATTATCATAATGAGTGTGTTATCCAATGATCCAACCCATTACAAAAGCTTGTTCTTGTTTCTATATTAACTGTGACGCATACCCACCTCAGCCATATCTCCCCATCGTCATAAGCGACTGCATGGACAATTGGCCAAAACTTTCTATGAAGTGTTTAGCGGATACCACGCTTCTCAAAAGACCGACGAAAAATAGCATAGCAAATTCCGGCCTAATACCCAAAAGTTCATTATTAATGCCCTAGTGGGGGTACCAAGCAAAAGTGCTTGCAGTAGTTACCTAATGCTTGCTTTGAAAAGGCTCTGGGAGGCCGCTTTTCTTTCTAGCTTTCGCTGGGACTGTGCTGCACCTACCACGCAGGCCTGGCGTTTTTTTTATTTTGCTGGCCTCGTTATGATGACCTTTTCTAAGAGAATTATAAAAAGCGTGTTGCTAGCCAGCCAGCCAGCCAGATAACGGTTCAAATGCGAGCATCTTTTTTAAACCAAGACATTTAATGATGTGACTGGGTAAACATGTTAACGGTGCACTCGGCACCCTTAAAAAAGCAGTGCGAATTCTTGGGCACATAAAGCTGAACTTGGTGTTCCTTTCGCGCCCGGCACAAGGAGGAGGAGAAGTCGCGGCTGCGCTCGCGGCGTGAGCAGGCACGTGCGAGGGGTCACCTCGAATTTCCCGGAACCGTTAGCCATCGAAGGCACCCCGCTTTTCAAGAACGATCCTGCGCACAGCACCACAAAGACACATTCACGCACACACTTGCGCGCAGAACAACTATGTAGACATCGACATAAACTTGATCCTTCGGTAAAGTTCAAACTACCATCACGAATTCCCAACTTCAATTAAACGTTGTCTGTTAATGGGTGTTTCGCTCATGAAGTCGTGCTCATTTCACCTTGAAAGCATCCTACAGGCACCTGCTCTCGTTATGGCACCCGGCGACAGCCGCACTGGATGGTGGTACTAAACCGGCTAGACTTGATCAGACCATTTCCGGTAGCCAAGTTTCTTCGACCTTGACCATAGGGGCGCGCACAGGGGGAGCGGTGGGGGGAGGGGTGGCAGGAGCTGCCCCTCTACTATTCATGTAAGAGTGCGGGTGGGCTACGTTATAGTCACCACTTCGTGTTATCATGCGAATGCACGCGCTTTTCTCCGTTATCTTTTCAACTGTGTCTCCATTGTCGCGAGTGTTTGTTTCTTGACAAGCGTTCTTGAGAAGTGTTTGGTAATGTGCCACTTGAAATTTATATTCAGAGAAAGAGACATGAGAAGAGCTCATTCAGATATATTTTATTTATTATCAACAGTATTGTGAACGCTTTTGTCAATCAGTGCACGTTGGACACAGTAAAACTTTAAATCTGCAGCACACCGAAACATGCAACACGGCGTAACAGAAACACTAGCGTGCGATGTACCTCAGCCGTTTTGTAACAAGTAAAAAGCGCTTAAGTGCGTAGGCATTCATGCGGTCACGTCAGGCTGAACGTTGTAGCCAGACACGACCACATGACCGGTTATATGAGCAACCAAGCGCAACAAATGCCGAAAAAGCCAATCAGCAGCGTTTTCTTTGCAGATATACTTTATAAAAGATTTTAACCGTGCGTTAACTTCTCGTTGTGAGGAATCTGTGTTGTCCCGCGTCTATACCAAAGTGTCAAGGGCTCAGTGGTTTCCATGCCCTTAAACACTATACCTTCTCATGAAATCTGACCACGACATGTTTCAACAATCGACATCCTCGCAATTTTCAAGGAAATAACAATATGTCATCTGAGCGTTTCTCGGGACTACAAATAAACCTCCATACATCAACCTGAGCAGGAAAACGTTCTTTGTCTTTGGTGCGTCTCTCACTCTATATAACATTTAGGTGCTTCGGCATGATTGTCTTTTGCAGTGTTGTGTCGGTGGTCAGCTTCTTGGTAAAACTGCTGAGATTAATCTCGCAGGTGCCCCAAACCACGCGAACAAAAAACGGTGCTACCTTTTAATGATTTCACTCACTGTTGATTTGCGTTTCTGGATAGATGTGAGCAGTCAAATCAGGCGTTTCGCACAACCTCCAACTCAGTACAAAACATTTGGTGTCGCTATGTTCATTTCGTATCTTAGTGCCTCTAGAAGTGATATGAAACACTACATTCTATATACTTCATTAGGAAGTGACTGACCAGGTGGCCTTAACAGAGTCTACCCCTGGACTTCACTTTTATCACAGCTCTATCTTTGCGACTGAATTAAAAATTGGTCTCCTCTTTGAAAGCGAAGCGTGATATATATATATATATATATATATATATATATATATATATATATATATATATATATATATATATATATATATATATATATATATATATATATATATATATATGAGATGTTCAATGTCTTCCTAAATAGTTAAATCGCTTTTAGCTTAGTCCGGAATGGTTTGAGTTAATGTTAAATACTTCACTCCATGCTCCTCAGCAATACACACATTCTGTATTTTTGAAAACATTTCTACGGGACCACCGTGCCTTTCGATATTATACAAAAAAACGTGGTTCATGCAATTACACGTGTGAAGTTGTCTACACTGACTTAGTCAGTGTAGAAAACTGCTATAGCAGCTATAGACTACAGATAGTGCTATAGTGTGCTGTAGTGCAAGTTGAGACGCATGCGCAATAGCTAAATGGGGCGTAAGGGCACGAGGATCCGTAGCTCAAGTACTGTGTCAATGTTATTACTGAATCAGTGCGTATTTGTGGTAGTCCACCTTGAACAAAACTATAGATATATATAGTTTTGTATTCAGTGCTTCATTATTATGTCAACACTCTGCTGTTATGACTGAAACCACAGAAAAGTTCACGCACACGTGACCCTCTGCCGTTGAGTGACAGTTTCACGTCGTTCCATTACAAAACTCCGCTTTTTCGAAAGCAATAAAATTATGTGATTCCTTGTGACAAATTATACCTCGCTGCGCAGCAGTAGGCTGAATTTCAGGAAGGCAGTTTTAAGCTTTGTGTCTTGTGGCTATTCCATACCACCTGCTTCTGACAGTAAACCAGGGTCGCAACATATTGAAATAGATTTTCTTTTTGCGTGAAAATTCAATTTGATTTCTTCTATAATGCCGTTGTGCAACTAAACTTGCACTTTCTTAGTTGAACAGACGTCTTGTTAAAGTACAGTGGATGGTACAGCCCATGCAACCTAATGTGAGTGAATTATCCAGAGTAGTATGTGCTCTATAGCTTAGGGACCAATCATGGTACTGTGGTGTGAGCTATGCAGCCCGCACCTGATACTCAACGGTAACAGTGGTAAATATTACGCCGGCGCTATCACACTCTAGCATCTTCACTGTTTTTTATATATTTAGAGTTGTATTGTTTCTTCTTTTTTTTAAATAGAATATATATTCCATTTATTCTGTCTGATGGAACAGAGCAGTCTTCGGGAAAGGGACACAGCGTTTAGTAGCGCCTTGCCGGGTAGTTGTACGGGATGAGGTCGCTGCGGTTGTTCGGGTAGCCATTGTATCGGAACGGGCTGTTGGGCGGGCTGAAGGCGAACCCGGCGTTGTCGCGTATGCCACGGCCGCCGTAGTCGGTGGCGAACCGGTCTCCCAGGCTGTCCTTGCCGCTGTACTCGGTGCGCGTGAAGAACGGGCTCTTGGTGTGTATCACCGTGGGCGGCTTGTGGCCCGGCGGTGCAGTCAGCTCGCGTTTGCGTCGCACGAACTCTATGAAGAGCGCCGTGAAGGAGGAGGCGAAGCCGACGCCCAGCACCCAGAAGGAGCCCGTCATGTGGCTGAGTGTGATCTTACGGATGTCGCCAGCTTGAGGCTTGGACTCCACGGTGCACTCGTTGTCCCGAGGCCAGTGTTTTCGCTTCCAGTGCATCACCAGACCGGACTCGACCAGACGCCGCAGCCTGCGTGCCGTAAATTGGGGGTCGTGCTCATTGAGACAACACGAGGCAGGCGGATGACAGGCATCTCGTGATATGAAAACTGAACATTGAAGTGTTACGCGACACTCTAGAGTCTAGAATGAACGTGACATTAACAGCTCGGAATACGACTTCATCATGAGGCACCCGTATGACTCCAGATTATTTATGCGCACCTTTGGCCCTTCATGGTGCTTTAAAAAATAACTTTACAGGCCATTTAGCATTCCGCCTCATCGAAATGCGGCAAACGAGGAAAAGTGTAGTAGACTGCAATTTTAGAAAGTTCTGTTTCCTACAGCAGAAGCCGCCGCACGAGCAGCAATAGAAAAAAATGGCAAGTAACAAAGTAGCTCAAAGTATATAGCAATATGCTTACTCGCTGTTGAGACGATCGAGAAACGGGAAGCCGACGCGCACAGCCAGAGATTTGACGTCTCGAATGACCTCTCCGCGGGCCACGGCGAAGTCGCATCGGGCAGTGCGATTGAGTTCACGGCCTAAGTAGTGAAACATGGTGACCTCGCTGCCGATCAATGCCATGTATCCCATGCGCACTTGATCCAGCACCCACATTTCGTGATTTGGCTCAAATGTCATCATCCGATCGGACAGAACTTTCAGTGACCCGCGCTCCTGTGTCTGTGCAAAAAAAAGAGGGGTAGGGAAAGGTCGGTTGCTTGAAATACTTGATACAATATTTGAAGCGTAAAAGAAAAACTTTAACGAAATAAAGAAGGTAGAATGCAAAATCTTGCATTCATTAGAAACACTCTCGTAATTACTGACGTTCTAATACAGGCAACAACCAAGAAGTCTGATCTGGAACAAACCCCAGCGAGGAAGACTCAGTGATTACGAAAGGCATGCGAGAAGGCCTGGTCTCTTAAACACACTAGTGAATAAGGCCCCGCCGCGGTGGTCTAGTGGCTAAGGTACTCGGCTGCTGACCCGCAGGTCGCGGGTTCGATTCCCGGCTGCGGCGGCTGCATTTCCGATGGAGGCGGAAATGTTGTAGGCCCGTGTGCTCAGATTTGGGTGCACGTTAAAGAACCCCAGGTGGTCAAAATTTCCGGAGCCCTCCACTACGGCGTCTCTCATAATCAAATGGTGGTTTTGGGACGTTAAACCCCACAAATCAATCAACACTAGTGAATAAGCAGATCTTGGGTAGTTGCGGTCACAGCTGAGGCCTTACCTGGTGCACACAATAATGCCCACAGACCTTCATTCACGTGAAGAAAATAAAAACAATTTCGAAGTCAGTGCAATGTTTCTTTGTTTAAGTGCATTATGTAAGTGCAGACACCTGTTCTCGAACCAAGCGAGGCCACTGGGCCAACCTTTCATGTGTGCTGCCTGTCACAAGAGATCATCGGCCTTACGTCAAGCCTAAGGGCACTACGCTCGGTTAGGAGAAACGTGAAGAAGCAATACATGTAGTTTAAGAGAAGTGCTACGCTGTTATTTTTTATTATGTTGGCGGTAATCTGAGGTATTTGGGATGATATTTATGCAACATTGCCGCCACAATAAGCGTTATGAAACCAATATGCGCAGATACGCCAACCACTGCACCGAGTCACATCTTTTTTTTTCATTAGTTTATTGAATAGTAATCCTATTTATGTTTACACCTAGGAAGCGTAAAAATGCCGATAAGGCCAATTGTGTAGTATTTTACGAACTTTATATGATGCTTGCGTTTCGGTAGATGCAGCCCACATAGCATTACACACTTACTTCTACTTTATACACAGCCTCAACTTATCGAGAAATGTCAAACCCGTTGGGAATAACAGAACAAAAGTATCGTAACAAATGACGAATAACGGTACAAATGGCACCTACAGCCCCCCATAATCTGTGACTTGGCTTAATACTAAAGACACTGGTTTTCTGAACAGTGACGTTACCATGGAGACAGTACAACTGTCGCCACGTGGCCTGCTTACCTTGAGCAGGTCGAAGACGGCCTGTCCCTTGAAGGCGCCCCATCGCATGTACCCTCGGTGTGCAACCAGGTTGTCCACATTGTCCACGGGGTTCCGGATTTTCGGGAAAGTGAGGTCTGCCACTAAGTTGCCGCTGTACGTGGTGAGGGTGACGATGACGAAGAGCCACCAGAAGCCGACCAGAATGCGGCCCGAGATAGCGTCCGGCAGGTGAATGCCACCTGCAAGTGCCCGGCAGTCCACGCAGTGAATCTAGAGCCAAAGGTTATTCCGGCCGGTGCCTTCAAAAGCAGTGCTTTTTCGGCAACGTCATCGGCGATTTGCCGAAAACTGAACCCCCCCCCCCCCCCACCACCACACACACACACATCTGGATGAGTAACGTGCGCCATGTTTCTGCACCAATGTGAACTGTCAATAGGACTCTTGCACCGATTTTCAACCGCTGTTGCTTGAATGTTAATTGCATGATATAGAGTAAGTCCTGCGGGAGTTTAGGAAGGCCGCGGGTCGAAAATACTGAGGCAGTTTCGGCCTGGATCGCTCGGGACCAACGACTCAGGCTGCCTGGAGAAGCCTTCAGACTTGAAAAATACGATCTTACTGTGCTAAACAAAAAGTTCACCCATGCTTTATGCACCATGGCACGCGTAGTCTGGAAGCATACCTTGTTGGATAATTGCTCCGAAGCAGTACCACTCGCAGTTTTGCAGAAGAAAGAGCCCCTTGTCATTTCGAAGGCCGTAATAGTCATAATAGGGGCTGGCACAGTGGATTCCCCACAGGACGGGTCCAATCAGAAGCAGCGAGAAAAGAACGGCCACCCATGTCTGCAGACACCACAACGCAAACGTGGTTAAGTCTGGGAGATCGCTTTCGCTACGAGTGGCTTAACCGTTAAGCGTAACGTCTTCAAACCATCGTTTTTAGACTGTAAATGTAAAAAAAATGAAAGTGGACCAAAAGACAACTTGTCACGCCTTCGAATAACACGCCCAAAGATTCTAGAGCATCACAAAACAAACTTCATTCTTTGATCAAATAAGAACGCAGACAGCATCCGTCACTGATTTTATTTGTGTGCGAGGTTCCTCGACTACAAACAGTCAGTTGAATATCAGTTTCTGTGTCTGTGTCTGTGTCTGTATCTGCCTGCCTGCCTGCCCCTGCCTGCCTGCCTGCCTGCCTGCCTGCCTGCCTGCCTGCCTGCCTGCCTGCCTGCCTGCCTGCCTGCCTGCCTGCCTGCCTGCCTGTCTGTCTGTCTGTCTGTCTGTCTGTCTGTCTGTCTGTCTGTCTGTCTGTCCATTTGTTTGTTTGTCCCCCTTAACGGTACCGGGCACTTTAAACGGCACCAGAGGATTTCCCAAACGGCCGACTCCCTCCGTAGCGCCCACCAGTGTTGCTCAAGCTTTAGCGTTCATACTTGTGTGATTGTCAAATGAAAAGCAATTATCGCGCATATCTTAGGCACTATAACAACACGCATATATTCTGTATGTGCATCTTTTACTAGTAAAGGTATACATAAGTTATTCTTAGGACCGTAGCGTTTATCACGCGGCGCTGGCCATGCAACGCTTGCACGAAAAGGGAAGTCTTTGCAACGCTTTGCTAAGACGACATGGTGGTGGCACCTACCAGTCGCCTTGCGTTCTACACCTTATCGCCTCTGAGACGGGCGCGCACACCCATCTCAGGGGCACGCGTTTCGTTTTCCAAGATAACTGCCAGATAGCGCTCCTGTCTCACGTGTGACGCGACTTGGTGCGCTTGTTCGCCTCCGCTGCACGCTCGAGGCACTCTAACGCAGCGCCTCGAGAATACCATTCCCCAATTTTCTTGCGCAGATCATCAAATAAACGTTTTGTTCAATCTCTCCAGACGCAAGACTATCGTCTTTTCACGACATTTGCAGATTAACATGCAGATACGGGGCCAATTTTTTCTCATTCCTTCACCTGTGTAGTATATATGAAGTCACGCGGCAGCTATACTCTACCGTATTAACCAATAAAGACCTCACGCACTGATATGACGTTTGGCACATGTGTTTTTTTTCTTCAAAGCTTAAAAAAACAAAAAACACTTCGGTGTTCAAATGCGAAGATGTTGTTTTGTGTATCTGTTTTTAACTAAATTGAGAATAATTAATAGCACCAATATTTGTAGAAATGTTCAACTCACGTCCCAGGTGAAGGGATCAAGAAAAAGGTACTTGTAGTTTGCCCTTGGTTTCGGCACTAGAATCTTGTATGGAGATTCGTCGTACGCTGACGTGAAGTTCACGACTTCAGACCGTTCTTTTGTTACCGAAAAGCCGTAAGCTCCGAGGTCTGCTTCCTGAAAAAAAAAAATATATCGACTACATTTTTTTTTTACCACGACAACGCACTTTGGTAGGCAACTGCTGAGCAGGTCGAAAATATCATGCCCAGCAGCCGGACTTGCAGAAAAGCTTACGCAAACAAAAAAAAAACAAGAAAGCTGACAGATATAGCATGGATTCGTTGACTGCTGTACGTGAACACAGGAGCAAACAAATGCCGGGACAAAGTAACAATAACTTCCAATCATTTATTTTTCTTTTAGAGCTTTGTCATTCAGTCGACGGCACTCTGTTGTTATCACTTTCATCGACCAGTCGTGAAAAGCGGATAATAGTGAATTTCTTGAGCGAAATAATTTCTAATGAGCGGTGATAGCTCACGCTTCGCTTAGCGCTGAGTTCTCTTATTAGCTGAGCGCCAATGCTTTATAATCTGTGATGTTCTAGGCTTGTACGATTGGTACAATGACCACACACAAGCTTCTGAAGTATTGCCATTCTGTAGTACTATTCATCCTGTAGCGCGATTGATTGGTCGCGGCGAGTCCACAAATTGACTTGAAGACGTGCCGCCTGACGTAAAAAAAGGCTGCGGAACTTGCAACGTTCTCTTTTCAGCCGAGAGGTTAAGTTAATTTATTGGTTTGAATTACCTAATGTAGTTTTTACTACCAGCCCCTCGGTGATACTCAAAAGAACATCTGGTATCTGTAATCCGGGAACTCATTCATATTGCATTGGATTACACACCACTGGGTTGTAATCCAATGCAATATGGATGACGAGTTGGTTCACGAGTCCGCTGATAACACGGCTGGGTCAGCTGTTGGAAACCGTATTTAAGGATATATGCAGCTAGAATGTATACCAGGAACATTGCTACAAAACATAACACTTTGTGTGCGAAGCGTAATATGTTTTCAAATGAACATCTAGCTGGGACATCGCTTTGCCCTTGCATCTAATCAGATGCGGCCTTTGCGAAACAAAAAATAGTAAGCAATGGTGCCTGCAATTATGAGCATCAATGAGGGGGCACTTGAACACATTTTGCGCCACTATCTACGCCACATAATGAAGAGAGACGGTAAATAGTTGTCTAAATAGGCTATGTTCAAATAAAGACCTCGCAAGCCATTACAGCAGAGCGCTAGAGATACGCTGTTACAATTAGTAGAGACACCAAACTTTCTAGACCTCACTGGCTCACCCCAAAATGTAGTATAGCAAACCGGATTACAGCTCTCGCTAACGCCCGTGCCTCTACTGTTATAATAAACAAAATGCAAATCCAACACTGTATATATTGTCACGCATTCCGGAATAAACTTCCTGACATGTGGCAGTGATTCCCAGTACATGCATGGCAGTGCATGCATGAAGCTTCGTCTTATCAGTGAATAACTCGAGGCTTTGCGCAGCCCTGTTCGTACCTTTCTGTGGAGCATCCCTATCAAACCAGTCCACTGGCCGTTTTCGAATGACCCGGCAACTGCTTCTCGTGGCACCCGCCACTCGTACCTAAAATAAAACAGCGTATATATAGCTTTTTTTCGTAATGAATAAGTATTACAATGAGAGTTGTGCTTTTAATTGAGTCTCGTTATATGTGACTTGTTGTATCTCTCGCAAATCCGTGAAACTGTAGTCCCCTGGCTGAACTATGTGATATCGTAAAGCAAGATCTGATGAGGCGTGTCCTCTTCTTATTCTCCTGCACTGAGGAGTCAAGAAGAAAAAGTGGCGTCATAACAGGTTTGGGTGCAGAGTCCTGATTGCTTAAATAAAAAGATGTACACATCACGAAACCAAAGAGAGTAAAAGGCGTGCCAATGTACAGGAAATTTTAATGGACAAAAAGTCAAGGTTAAATGCTCTCGCACTCAATTACGTGCTTCCTCGATGACGCAGTCATTTAAGCCTCTTGAAGTGCAGAAGTGTTGCGGCTTGGGCGAGGTGGTTATCTATGGACTTAGCTTGCATTAGCGTGGCAACTATTAAAAAATGAAAAGACAACACAGACATTTCTTGACGTCTCTGTTGTCGTTTCCTTTTTTTTTTCATGTGAGCCACGTTAATACAAGCTAGGCCATGCGGATTCCGTAAACAGTATACATAAAGAGCATGACAGGTCCTATCGCATAATAATGGCCAGTGTCAACTAATCGTCACTCACGTAAAGTTCAGTCCTTTGGCCAGTGACTCAACCATTTCCGCCATCGTGCCAGTGACATTTTTCACTGTTTTGCCGTCTGCGGACATTTCAACCACAGACATGGGAGGGTCCTGTAAGGAGAAGATATCGTAAGCTTTGAGAAAGCTCTCGTGTTCAGTACAAGTTCAAGTGTGTGAGCGGTGACTGCTGCGTAAATTTGGTTGACCTCTTGAAGCGCGAAGCATTCCGCTTTATCTCTAGCACTCACATATGTGCCTCCCCTTCCTTTCCACATAAAGGCACGCATCAGCAAGTCACAGACCTCACACTTAGAGATTATTTCCTCCTGCGGAAACGTGCGTACACACTCACTCAGGCTGGATCGAAACATGGGAAATTTGTGACGCAAGAGTGACGTACGTTGATAACAGCGATGATGAGCCTGATGCCTCCAAGATCTCCGATGATGCCAGGAAAGAATTCCTTGCGCTCCATTCGAATGCCAGCCACCAGCGTCCACTGGCCAACGTCCAACAGCACCTGCTCTCCACGCAGCTTCGCCACCGTCTTCAGTGCGAAGCGGGAGCACTGGCCACACTGCCCGCTGTCCAACAGCAGTGACTGCATTTGTTGTAAATTCCTTTACACACCAGCTCATCACGGTGGAGAAAAAACAAAGACTGTCGATGCATACCTCGTATGGCTCACGTGGAGCAGTCAACTAAGTAAACCATGAAACGCATAGCACTGTGGAATCCTATTATCTAAACACGAGTCATGACGACCCTTCAATTGGACTGCATGCAAATGTGTCAAACACTGTCATCTGACTATTGTTCTTTCAATGTGAAGCAATTCAATACATACTACAAGCATTTTTGGCATCTATCTATCTATCTATCTATCTATCTATCTATCTATCTATCTATCTATCTATCTATCTATCTATCTATCTATCTATCTATCTATCTATCTATCTATCCGCCTACGACTGGGTTCTCTTGTGACCCCCCCCCCCTCTCATATGGGGTAAACCAAAATTAGTATGGGAGAGTATGATGTTAGTATGGGAGGGTAAGATGGTTTGACGAGTGCGACTCGCTGGTCATAACATAAATATTGTCACAATACTGTCTTATACGTCGTCAAACACTTTCCGCCGGACAGTGGCCCACACCGCAGGCGGGTATGTGCCAATGGTATACGGGTATGTGCCACATGGTATTTACACTTCATATCGACTCATGAACGGCAAGAACACACATGGACCTTTGCAATTCCACTCGCAATGGACGAATTCTTGAAATTTTGGTGGCATTGAATTCGTGAGACAATGAGCTCTGTTAATGAATTCATTCCATGGTTACTTGAAAAAGTGTTTCATGGCCCCTTTAACGCATTTTGTTCGACAGGTGTCATGACGAAAAAGAGCCCATTCGGCAATTTTCAAGCGCATTTGGGAGGCCTCAAACTACGTCAAAAAAGGCCGGGATAGTGCAGCCATCGCCGCTAAAAACACACATGAACTTTCAAAGAGCTCTAAAATTAGACAACTATGTCGATTTAGTGGAAAACATATAGTGCCTTTCCAGAGGCATTGATCAAGCAAACAGCAAACGCTAGATAATGTGCTGCCATCTGTGAGGCGTTGTGAGACTCTTTATGGCCTCCGAGATGGCGAGCGTGCGGCGGGTACCTAGTAGGCAATATGACTCTTGCTTTAGAGCAAAAACCTGTATGAATCGTTCCCGCACCCGCGCTGGTACAATCTATTGTGTGCGTGTGTGTGTATGTAACAAAACATATTAATAAGTATGCACTTAGGGGTTGAAGGGCGCACTAGGAGCCGGGTTTCGCTATTGCATTCAACTCTTAAAGGCGAAGCTTAAGGGTCCTTCAGTTTTTTTTTAACAGGGAAGTGTTTGATGCCGGGGTTCACCAACGGTTCACTGACGTATTTCCGTCCCGTATATGATAATGTAAAATATCTACTAAGAGAAAGCAAAGAAAAACTAGACGGAAAAGTTCCGTCCCTGGTAGTCAAACTTACAACCCCTCGCTCCACAGCGCGTGGCGCGAACTAACCCGGCTACAAAGCGTAGATTCTTCAGCTTGCTGACGGTGAGCTGTTTATATACACCATTTACCGTTGAAGGTACTTGAAGGCCGGTAACTTCAGCGTGTTCTTGTTATGAAAGGCGATATGGAGCGAAGGGTGCGAAGGGCGTGCTTTAAAGGTCATCGGCCCACGCCTTGCGATGCGCGCGCGCCTCGACAGGGCGTAGTCGCTCATGCGCGTGCGCTTATCTCGTGATCGGGGTGGCTTGTACGTCTTGGATTTTCACCGCAAGTATGCGATGAAGTTACAGAAAGCACGACAGTCACTTCGCTCGCTGCAGTGGCCGCTTTTATGCCTGAAAGTCCAGACCAAACGTCATTGCTTCGGCAAAGGCAAGCAGTGTGAAGGCCACCGAACTAGCTCGTCTGACGCCATCACCTCAACGACGTCATTCAGCCCGGCGGCGCTGGTCTATCTTACGCAACGCATGGCAAGCTCCATCCACGCACCAGCCCCATGGCAGCCCGATGATGCAATCGCCGCCATCCAGTCTGGCGAGTCTTACGCAATGCATGGCAATATCACTCGTCCATGAGTGCAACCCAGCGGCGGTTCCGGATTGGAGGATTCTGACGCCACCACCAGCGGCGGTTCTTATTGAACGTTGCTGACGTGATGGGATCGCTCGGGGCCTATTACGAACCAAGCGGCGCTACGCCAAGCAGCCGACCTATGCGCCAGAGAGAAGACGACAGCGTTAGAGTGTCCGAAGACATCTCGGCTTTTCGAGTCCCTAAGCTGTTGGCCCCGGTGCCGAATTTGTAACGCCTCTATTTCTATGCTGTACATAAACCTTGCCTTAACTCACCATCGTCTTGTCCGCTCATCTATCAGCTCTGCGTAGAAGCAGCCGTGAGCTGAGAAGCGCGCTACTGAACAACCTTGGCGGCCCGCAACCTCGACGCACTACACAACAGTGGCGGCGGAGGTGAGAGTCATAACACCGCGCTTGCGAAAGGAGCGCGCTGCTTACACACAAAAGTAACAGTTGTGACAGTTGTTAGTTCGCACTCGTCATGTGTATTCTTGTCCGCTCTTGGAGTGCGTCCTTTGTGTTTGAGCAGATTGCTTCAAGTGTCGAGCTGTGACAGTCGTTAGTTCGCACTCGTCCTCTGTATGTTCTTTTCGTGCGTCGCACTGCAATTTTCTTGCGGCGTGCTGTTCTTCGCGTGACATTACAATATGCTGCTGTAGCATTCATTCCTTCGCTCATGTGGCGAAACCATGCATCGTAAGCGCTCAGCTACCTCTATGAAGGCCCGTTTAACTTTCGAGTTATACCACTAGCCAACAGATATCTCAGTCATGCTTTTTTTTAAGGTGAACATATTCAACAGGGATCTGCTTGGCTGGGTGAAATTTCATACGAAAAAAAAAACTGCCCAGCAGCTTATAGTCTAACGTTTTTAAAGGTAAAGTTTAAAAACAATAAACTGAACCGACGTTTTGGGACCAATTCGGGTTCTTCTTCAGGGGTGACTGTTCAGCCGGCTGCAATCCGAGTCTCAGTCTCTTTCGGGATCCAAGAAATTGGAACCAATATCTCTTGTACACTTTGCTTGATTTAAGGGATGTGATTGTGATAATGATACAGTGCGGTTGACGTTGTGCTGCAATGCGAGCATTAAAAGAATTTTATACCTACATAAAAGAGAGGGCAAGCAAGAAATAACCGAACAGTTCAAACAATGTCGTGCATAACGGGTGCCTTTCAAAAGTCAGCGCATAATACTTCAACGTACAAGTACACTTCTTACGTTTCAGGTATTAGTTGTTTTTTGTAACCCTGGCTATTTGATTATATTAGAAAGAAAATTGCACACAAACAGCCATGCTGTAACCCACCTTTGACGTGTTGGCGAAAATGTATTTCGTCATACCAAAATCTTGTGGTGTTTGCTTGTACGACCCCTTCGCAAGCTTATCTCCGATGGTTTTCGCAACCGTCTCGACTGCAACTGGCAGCTGACAATTCTCCTCGACCTGCAGTGCAGTTTTTACAGAAGATGACCTAAAAACCCCATGTGCTAGCCAAAACATTGTATATTTTGAAAAGTAAATATAACACGTACTTTAAACAAGTCTGGCAGTTTTAAAAGAATCGTTTCCTAAGCCTTAGAAACTTACGGGACAGTCTGTTTCTGCGACTTCTGCGTAAGCTATGAGAACGTTGGCACCGTCTGGAAAACTTGTAGCGAACTTTTCAAACTCTTCATTGATTGCTTCAGTGACAATACACACAAAGTCACGATGAAAGGTCATCATGTTTCTATCTCTTATCTGCAAGGAGGGAAATAACGTTTATTGAGCTTTTGATTGCGATAAGGCTTGCGAATTCACAGTTCTGAATGTGTGAAACACTTTCTACCTTGGTGAGAGCTCCCTGAACAAGGCTCATGTTTCCCACAATGATGTAATGGCGAACATGCACCAACTCGCTAAAAGTCTCGACGATGTTGTCTATCGACGTGGTTCCACGTTGGCAAGAAGTCGTCAGACAGACCCGGAAGGTTGTGACCGCCGCCGCCTTTACATTGGACGACAAGCCTCGCACAGCCTTTACCATATCCTCCACATACACTGGGTCTGCAAAACCACATTGCCGCCTCGTAAAGAAGAACTCATGCCACCTCGGCATTAACGTTTCGAAAAGGTTCGTGTAAGCTTCATAACAAAAACTGTAGTTGTTATAGGCAATCATAAAGGGTAACATTACGAGAAACGTTAAAGCATAAACTGACTAGTGTCACTGGTCATTGTTCATTGTGGATACTAAGAGCATAACGGTCACTCGACGGGAAACAATGCGTCGTGAAAAATGCACCAAGCGTTTGAACGCGTTTTTTTCCCACACGGGGCATGCTGAAAGGCATTCTGTACCGCCAGATGAGGCATACGCTTGTGAAGTTGTGGTTCAAGAACCAAGCTTCGACGGTCACATTTTTGTGGAGGCGTAATGGTTTAGGCCCGTGTGCTGTGCAATGTCAGTGCATGTTAAAGACCTCCAGATGGTCAGAATTTGCGGAGCCCTCCACTACAGCTTCTTCCCGAATAATCCCGTGGTTTTGGAAAGGTAAACCCCAGATAATATGAATAATTGGGCTTCGGTACCAGAGGCCAGATTTCAAATTTCGCAGTTGGGACAATGAAACACCTTCATGTTTATGTCGTGCGTACATATACGCTGCTCAGGCGTCCTTCGCGCGTGGGTGCGACGTCCCTAGGCAGACGGATTATCCACGTGAAATTCGGGGCTGTAACTAAATAAATGTTATTTGCGCTTAAGAAGCGAACTCATAGGTGGCTGCGTAATGTTTTGAAACAGGGGGGTAAACGCTTGGAAGCACTGGCTATCTTAAAGACCTATTTAAATGGTTAATACCACGGGGCGTCGTGTTAATGTTTCTGCGTTTGTCGGCGTTGCAGGGACATTCCAATTTTACACGGAACATTTTCTTTTTACTTACTGTAGTCGGGGTCATGTAGCATGACAATACTCTTCCAGTAACGCAGGTCGCGGGTGTTGCGAATATCAGACAGCAGAGGAACGATGTCGAGCGGCCCCGTAGTGACGGGAAATCCTAGAGCGAATGTTTCTTCCAGCCGTGGGCAGTAGCGGTCCATAATCGACACAAGGAACGTTTGGGGCATGCGCTGTTTGACCACATTGTAAGCGTGCTGCGTCTTTTGGCAGTCGACAACGGTGAACGCAGCATCGAGGAGACTCTCTGCAAGTGAATGGCCAAATGAGTGAGTCAATCTACCAATTCTTTTTAACTTTTTTTTTACTACTTGATATCATGGTGTAAATCGTTAATATGACCGCGTGTTCTTCATCGCTGAAATACGCGTTATTCGTGGCGTATTCATTGCACAATTAACTCACTGATGGACGATCATTGACAGGCGTACATGTCAGCTGACCAGATGGTCGTATGCACGATCCTGGCTGCGGCGGTTGCATTTCGATGGCGGACAAATGCGAGAGGCAGGTGTACTGCGCTATGTAAGTGCGCGTTAAAGAACACAAGATGGTCGAAATTCGCAGCCTTCCACTAAGGTGTGCCTCACTCACATCGTGGTTTGGGCACGTATAACCCCAAATATTGTTATCATTGAGACGTATAAGCATCAATAAATAACCTACAATTACTCGATCGAACTTGCAACCTTGAAAGGGACAAGTCCACTAGTCGAAACGTCGGCTCTGTAGCAACACTTCGTGTTCACAAATTTTTTGTCAAGTTCCCGAGTACGACATGAAATATTCTGTAACATTTCGTTTGAGATGAAGGTCGGATCCAGAGTGTACAAGATCAGATCCTCCTCAAAGCATTAAGAGAATCGGGGCAGGGTGGAAGGGATCACAATACGCCATCAGAGGAACCAGAGGTCCTTTTCTGGGGGAGGAGGAGTAGCGCCACTTCACGTGTGCAGAGTAAGCAAAAGAAATGTACTTCAGAGTTGGCGCAGTTTCATTCGAACGGAAACTCCCCGATCATACTTACTGCCCATGATGGCCGGTAGTTGTTCAGCGTCCTCCGCATGATCGGCTAGCACGCGGAACCGGTGGCCTCTACCAAGCAGCTCGCTGTAGTTGGCCTGCAGCTCGAGGAAGCGGTCCTTTGAGCCTTCGCCGACCAGTTGGATGTTGGGCATGCTCACTATGGCTGCGCAGGTGAAAACGAGATGTTGGCAAAGTCAGTTTCAAGCAGACGTTAGCCTAAACATGCAAGGTGGTTCGCGTATGTGTTTTTTTTTCGTTACTCCAAACGCTATCTCGCCGCGTGCTTTAAAACGCGCTCAACACACAATGCTTACAAAGCACGGTCGTTATTAACACTTACTCACCCATGAAAGTAAATTATTGTCACAACAGAAACGCTTCGTACTGTGGTAGCGGCAAGCCTCAGACTTGATGCAACTGCCACGGCATGCACCGATAAATAAAAAAAAATGAAAGAAGGGGACACAGCATAGACAATGCCACGTTTATTTGACATCAAGACCTTTTTTTCTTCACCACCATGTTTAAGATAGCAAGTCGGAAAGCTTCTATTAGGCCCGAGAACGAACACTGGCGGCGCGGCAGTCGGGGCGAAGTGACGTCACTGCAAGGATTCGCTTGCTCTGCGGTCGAGTGACGCCTTTTTCGGCGCCCGCCTTGTGCCCGCTCTTACGCGACACGGTGGTGATAACTGCTCATTATTGCAATGCAAATCTAGCAAGGCAGACGGCGGCTGTTCACACTGCAGGCGACGGGTAAGTGAGCTGCAGAAAACTGCTGCGATAATCTAATGGGCAAGCTCCAGTCTGAACAGGAGTTTCACTGTGAAAACGTTCGTGCATTATTACAGCAAGGCATTCGTCGTTGTCACCGCTTACGCTAATAAATCAGCTCTAAATGCTTTTACGCTGATGATTCGAACTTCATTGCAACTTAATGTACACTTCGGTGTTAGAACACGTGTCCCGAAGAATTACAAGTAAATTCAGAATGTTTTCCAACTTACTGAATACATAGCGGTTTTTATGCAGATGATTCGGGGACATGAAAAAATTGCGCTATTTCCTAAAGGAGACGTTAGATGAATCTACCATAACAATATTTTAATAGATCCAGAATATGCTGAACCAAATTACACGGTCACACATGAAACGTTCACAGAAATGCTGAGCTGTTACTGTACTTGAATTCTGTAAGATATCTTTTAAACAACTAGCCACCTTGAATTCTGTGGCCGTGTACTCCGCGTGAGCTGCTGATTCGATCAAACGCCGCGTCACAGGCGGCAATGTTTAATTCACGTGGGAGCATTCATGGTAGCAAATCGTTTGCAAAGCAAACGATTGAAAGTCTAAATGAGCGTTGTGAACTGTTTCCGTGGCTCTCTCAGTGAAATGGCCCACGTAATAAATAAACGGTCTTCATCTCAATTATTCAGTGTCTGGCTTGACACGTCATATCCACATACCAGGTAATGAAGCTCGGGTGTGATCAAATAAAAGTAAAATGAATTTACTTGTGATCTATCTAAACGGGCACTTGCGAGTGTAAATGTGGCATTGCAACAATGCTGCATGAAGTTTCTGCCATTAACCTCAACTCGTTTTTTTCGTGAGATGAAGCTCCTAAATTACTGCGAGGAAAGTGTGACACTATATGACGAGTGAGCAAGTACGTAAGCAAAACAAATACAACAGCTGTGGCGATATTCTTGGGCAAGCGTTTTGGAGATACTTTGCGAGCTTCGAAACTGCTGATGCGTGGGTTTTTGCAACTGTGCGTAGAGCTTAATACGCAGACCCCCCCCCCCCCCCCCCCCAAAAAAAAAAAGCGCATGTGTCCGATAGAAATAAAACTTTCGGAAGTGAGAGCATCACACTGGTGAATAAAGCAACCTATTCATACAAATATGCTGTCTTACGAGTAAAAACCACGACTTGAATACGGAACACGCTGTATAATCACTTTGTATCCCAGCACAAATATGTTGTTGCTCTTCGCTTACGTCGGAATGCGACTGCCGCGGCCGAGAATCGAACCCATCTTCCAGTTAAGCGGCGCGGACAACACAAATCTGATCAAAGTGTACAGTGGAGCGCGGTAATCGTTGGTGATTGTGCTGAGCAAGTTTTTCGTTCTTTTACTAGGATAATTATCGATGCTGTTTTCGTCGTTCATCCGAAGCTTGAGTCAAGCGAAAAGCAATCGCACATAGCGGGACAGTATAGTATGCGAGCGCATGTTATGCGCGACACGGCAGGCGTCAAAGTATTCTTGCCGTGACGACATCCCGCCAAGCGGCGCCACCCCAGCTTAACGTTGCGATGAATCACAGTACCGCATGCGGCCCGCCGCGGTGGTCGCGTGGCTAATACTCGGCTGCTGACCCGCAGGTCACGGCATCGAATCCCGGCTGCGGCGGCTGCTATTCCGATGGAAGCGAAAATACTGTAGGCCCGTGTTCTCAGATTTGGGTGGACGTTAAAGAAAACCACCTTCTAATTTACGCTTCTTTTCTTCATTCCTAGGCATAGTGACGCAATTCGTGAAGGTGTTTTGTGTCTTCGTCTTCCCTGCGATATTTTGTTTTACGCATTGTGCCTGTCTGTCTGCCTGCACGTCATTATGAATTAACTCCTAAAAAGACTGATGTCTGTCTGTTAGTTCAATTTGCTGTATTACACTTTCTCTCACTGTCGAATATATGCATGGCTGAACATCGCATTTTCAGGGCCTTATAATGCTACACCCAATAAAAAACCCCTTTACTTTCTGACGTCCCGGTCGTGCCACAAAATAAACCTATATTGCCGGCATGTGCCCGCTGCTTTTGTTATGAGTACCAAATTCAATCTTTATTATGAACGGAGTAATGCACCTCTAGATGCGGTAGTCTAATGAAATACTGGAAGTGCATGAATTATAAAAAACGAACATTGAAAACAGGACATTCACAGATATTTGAAACGTCTCATGGTTCAAAGACAGTCCGGAATCATTGAGAAAGGAAAGCTAAAAAGCGAATTTGTGGCTGGTTTCGATGAGTGTGTGTGAGCAACAAAAAAAAAGTATGAAGTTTTCAAAGCTCTCGACCCAAGAGCAGCAGTTACTTGAAATGTTCATTGTGGCAATGAGCCGTTGCGCCAGGGCAGGTAGGTTAATTCAATGTGGGACATAGTGAACCAATTAGTTTAAAGATTAAGCTTGATCATGTACTGCTGTCTGAATACGAAAGAGTATGTGGGGGATTTCAGACCTCGTACAGGGCCGCTTTCATTAGCAACAGCGGTCTTGCTTATTCGTATAAGCTATATGCTTGCCCTACATGTGAACGTAATCCTGCGTGAGTTTACAACCAGTCCCTTTTTTTTGTACTTGTAAATGAACGGGAGGCACTTTAGAAAGTGAATCGCGGCAACAAAAAAACATGACGCTCGCCTAGGGGGCATCGATTGGAAATCCTTCCGGTGCCTGACTCGCGCCAGTACCGAAAGACGAGGTCCGGGATCGAAGACGGCGGACCCCCTCTTTGTGTCTCGTGGCTTTTGAAAGCGTCTCCACGTCGATGACGTGATGGGGTGGGAAAACAATTTCTGCCCTTTTTTTTTCTCCCCGGATTCATTCTTTTTTGTTCTCGTTTTGTGTCTTCTGAATCTCCGTTTATTTCTTTTCTTCTTCTTTTGTCTAGTGCGATTCCGTCGATTGTTGTTCTGGCTTTCAGCAAGTGTGTCATTTCTTGCCGCCCACAGCTCGAAGAGGAAATGGCACACAAACATCTGCGCATGCGTCTTCTGATTGTGGTATAGACCTGGAAAGAGCACCGTGCGTGCGACGACCGCTGACACCTGCGCCCGAGATGGACAACAGGAAAGAAAGCGGAACAGTGTGACCTGCATTGTGTGTCCCGAACAATGGAAGTAAAAAAAAACAAACAAGAAATTCTGATGAATTCTGGTGTAGCATTATTGTTTCTTTAAACGATCAACTTAAAAATATTGTTGCGGGTTCGCGGCTATGCAGCTATGCGGGCGGTGCGAAGAAGAAGACGACGACGTTTTTGGGCTGTTCGAAATACACAACGGCTGCCATCTTGACTGCTGGAGTACTTTTCTACTCTAAAGTAGTAAATACATTCGCAACATTTTGGTGGTGGCGCTGGGTACGACGCAAGACGGAACTTCGAAGCGGACGTGTTCTCGACTGCCCGACCATGGCAACAGAAACCAATTCTGCCGCTCCTGTTTCAGCCGCGACTCCGGCGCAGCCTGTACAGCCGGTCGTATTGACGCAACCGCGCGACCCTGGCAACTTCTGCGGCACCGACCATGTTGACGTTGACGACTGGATTCCGAAGTTCGAGCGGTTTGCAGCAGTGTACCGGTGGGACCCTACGATGATGCTCGCCAACGTTGGCTTCTATCTCTGCGGAACAGCTGGCGCGTGGTTCGAGGCTCATGAAGCGGACATAACCAGCTGGGATACTTGCAAACAGAAGCTTCGTGACCTGTTTGGTAAGGCCGTCGGACGCCAGCGGGCCGCTTCTAAAGAACTCTCTGGTCGGGCACAAACTACGACCGAATCATATGTCACCTACATCCTTGACGTTCTCGCCCTTTGCCATCGTGCCGACCCCAACATGTCCGAGGAAGACAAAGTAAGCCATTTACTTAAAGGCATTGCAGATGATGCTTTTAACATACTGGTTTCCAAAGACTGTTCCACCATTGATGACATCATCAAAGAGTGCCGCCGATTCGAAGAGCTGAAGAGTCGCCGGGTCGCCAAGAATTTCTTGCGACTTCCGAACACGGCCGCTACGTCATCTTGCGAGGACCTTCAGCCGCCATGCAGTCAACCACATAACAACGAAAGTGTGGTTCGCATCGTTCGTAGAGAAATCGAGGCCGCGTCTCCGTCTTTTCTGACCCGCCCATCTGATGATCGACCAACGATCTCGTTGATCCAACAGGTCGTGAGAGAGGAGCTGGCAAACGTTGGGCTGCAGCCTGTGTGTTCGTTGACGGAACCTCGGGTCAGTACCATAGCGCCTTCTCCTGCACCAGAAAGATTCCGCCGCTATCGTGATCCTGCTCAGTGGAGGACACAGGACGACAAGCCTATATGTTTTCATTGTCATGGTGTAGGACACATCTCCCGCTACTGTCGTTTCCGCACGTATCCACCTCGGTCGTTTCCTGGCTATCGACGTGACGACAACCACCGGCCCCTGCAGTACAGCGCTCGTGACGATGGACCGTACAATGGCACTGCTGCGACACCAGTCCGCCGGTCCAGCCGTTCGCCGTCCCCGCATGACCGTCGCTCCAGGTCACCTCAGCACCGCCGCTATTCGTCGCCCCACCCTACTGGACGCCCTTCTTCGGAAAACTGAGCAATGCAGCTCCCGGAGGTGACGCTGCATTGGACTCCCGACCTGAAAACCCTCTGCTGACCTTGACTACGGACAAGAACCTGCTTGATGTAGAAGTGGATGGCCTTCCTGTTACTGCCCTTATTGACACCGGCGCACATATTTCAATTCTGAGCTCTGACCTCCGTGCACGATTAAACAAGGTCCTTACGCCGCCAGAGTCCCTATTTGTACGTGTCGCTAGTGGAGCGACCCCGGCTGTGCTCGGAATGTGCACCGCGCGTGTGAGATTCGCCGACCGCCAGACGTCCGTTCTATTCCATGTTCTCGCTCACTGTCCACATGACGTCATCCTTGGACTCGATTTTTTGTCCGACCACTCCGCTGTAATTGACTGCTCAGCCGGCGTCGTGCAACTTGACTTGCCTGCGGCCACCGAAGAGTTGAAGATGGTACAGAACAAGCTTTCGTGCGCTGAGTTTGTTCGCCTCCCACCCCAAGCCCTAACTTGTGTCACAGTTGAACCATATCCCAGTGTTCCGGATGGGGATTACGTGGTCTTTCCCTCTCCCGGTGTTTTATTGGCCCGCAACGTTTCCTCCCCGTACACCATATTAACTGTCACAGCGAACAAGACGTGCCTTCCTCTTCTGAACTTCGGACTCAGCCCTCAAATCCTACCACAAGGCATTGTTCTCGCCACTCTTTCACCGTCACACGAGTGCCAGATCTCATCAGTGTCACGTGAACTGGCCACAGTCGCCTCGCCGAACCCGCATAGCACCGACGCAGCCAAATCTACACGGCTCAACAATGTAACTAAGATGATTGCCTCAGACCTCTTGCCGTCTCAGGTCAAAGACCTCACTGATCTTCTCACGAGCTATTCGGACATATTTGACTTTGACGGTAGGCCCATAAGTCAAACATCGCAAGTCAAACATCGCATTAATACCGGTGATGCAGCTCCAATTCACAGGCGTCCCTATCGAGTGTCACCATCAGAACGCCAAGTTATCCAACAGGAGGTGAATAAGATGCTCACAAAAGGCATCATAGAGCCCTCATCGAGTCCGTGGGCGTCCCCTGTAGTCTTAGTTAAAAAGAAGGACAATACCTGGCGTTTCTGCGTGGACTATCGGCATTTAAACAAGGTCACCAAAAGGGATGTCTACCCGCTTCCTCGTATTGATGATGCCCTGGACTGCCTTCATGGCGCAACCTATTTTTCTTCGATAGACTTACGCTCCGGTTACTGGCAGATCGCCGTGGACGACCTCGACCGGGAGAAGACCGCCTTTGTAACGCCTGACGGTCTCTACCAATTCAAGGTAATGCCGTTTGGCTTGTGCAATGCGCCGGCAACGTTCGAGCGGATGATGGACACGCTTTTGCGCAGCTTTAAATGGTCTATCTGCCTGTGTTATCTGGACGACGTGATTGTGTTTGCCCCAACCTTTAAGTCTCACCTCGAGCGCCTTTCCTCAATTCTTTCAGTATTTCGAGAGGCTGGGCTCCAACTTAATTCCTCGAAATGCCATTTTGGGCATCGCCAAGTTACTATTCTAGGGCATCTCGTTGACTCCTCCGGCATCCGCCCCGATCCCGACAAAGTCCGAGCTGTCCTGGATTTTCCTGTACCGACTTGTGTCAAGGACGTTCGAAGTTTTGTGGGCCTATGCTCATATTTCCGACGATTTGTCAGAAACTTCGCAGAGGTCGCACGCCCCCTCACTGATCTTTTGAAGAAAGATGTACCATTTGAGTGGGGTCCTGATCAAGGCACGGCCTTTTCCCAGCTCATAACACTTCTGACCACGCCACCGATTCTCGCCCACTTCGACCCGTCTGCTCCAACCGAGGTCCGCACTGATGCTAGTGGCTACGGTATTGGCGCGGTTTTAGCCCAGCGTCAATCCGGTCACGATCGAGTTCTTGCGTATGCCAGCCGGCTCCTTTCTCCTGCCGAACGCAATTACTCTATTACGGAACGCGAGTGCCTGGCGCTTGTATGGGCAGTTGGTAAATTCCGCCCCTATTTATATGGCCGGCCTTTCACAGTTACCACTGACCATCACGCTCTATGCTGGCTTTCAGCCCTCAAAGATCCAACGGGGCGCCTTGCTCGTTGGGCTCTGCGCCTCCAGGAATTCACATACACAGTGGTTTACAAGTCTGGCCGTTTACACCAAGACGCCGACTGCCTCTCTCGGTACCCCGTTGACGCTCCAGATCTAGTAACCGACGACGCGTCCATCTGTATTTCCTCGCTCTCTGCTTTCGGCAACATGGGATGTGAGCAACGGCGTGACGCGTCCCTACGCGAGCTAATCGACCGCCTGAACACAGGCTGTACAGACAGTTCGCTTCGCATGTTCGTTGTCATAGACGGCATTTTATACCGCCGCAACATGCACCATGTGGGAAACGAACTACTACTCGTAATACCCACTCATTTGCACTCGACCGTACTTCAGCAACTACATGATGTACCAACGGCTGGCCACCTTGGTGTTGCCAGAACGTACGACCGTGTCCGCCGACGCTTCTTCTGGCCCGGCCTCTACCGTTCCGTACAACGTTATGTTAGGTCTTGTGAGTCGTGCCAACGCCGCAAAAGGCCAGCGGTACACCCCGCCGGGCTCCTTCAACCGATCGACGTACCTGCCGAGCCTTTCTATCGTGTCGGCCTCGACCTGCTGGGCCCTTTCCCTCTTTCTACCGACGGTAACAGGTGGGTCGCCGTCGCCATAGATTACTCGACCCGTTTCGCAATTACGAGACCTCTTCCAAGCAGCTGCGCTACAGATGTCGCCGACTTTTTGATTCAAGACGTCATCTTACATCATGGTGCTCCTCGTCAACTGGTCACCGATCGCGGTCGCTACTTTTTATCTAAGGTAATTGACGATCTACTTCGTTCTTGTGCAACCAAGCACAAGCTTACGACGGCCTACCATCCTCAAACAAACGGCCTCACAGAACGTCTGAATCGCACACTCACTGACATGCTCGCCATGTACGTGTCGACGGATCATCGTGACTGGGACATTGCGCTACCCTTTGTCACTTTCGCTTACAATAGCTCACGCCACGACACTGCTGGATATTCTCCCTTTTACCTTTTGTATGGAAGAGACCCGACATTGCCGTTCGACACGCTTGTACCCAACCCTACCGACCTGTCCACAGCATATGCTCGCCGCGCTATTAGCACCGCGGAGAAAGCCCGTCAGATTGCCCACCAGCGCCTTTCGGACTCGCAGCTCCGTCAGAAACGTAGCTATGACAGCCACCATCGGGACGTCCACTTTAGTCCAGGTGACCTCGTTCTTCTGTGGACTCCGTCGCGACATGTTGGTCTGGCTGAAAAGCTTCTACCCAAGTATTCCGGACCTTATCGTGTGCTACGGCAGGTAACTGATGTTACCTATGAAATAGCACCTCTAAACCCTTCGATACCTTCCACATCTTCCGACATCGTCCACGTCGCTCGCCTCAAGCCGTACATCTCGTCCAACACCTGCTAACAAGCGCCGGGTCGGCGCTTTTCGCCGCCGGAGGTCGATGTTGCGGGT